AGAAACATCAAATATTAAATGAAAATGAATATCTACAGTTAGCTGCTGGGAGCTTAAAAATGACATTACAGAAATCCCAATGCTTATAATTTTTTGGTTAAACCCCCATTTTGGTCCCTCAACTATTGTACGGACCCCCGACTTAGTCCCTCAACTCAAAAAATCCCTGATTTGGTCCCTACTGTTTACCATTTTTACCCCGATTTGGTCCCTCCGTTAAAAATCTGCTTACATGGCACGTTATGTGACGGAAGAACGATGACACATCAAAACACATTAATACAACGTGGCAAAAAATGATGACATGTCAAATGAAATAACAATTATGCCCTTCTAATTAAACTAAATTATAACTTTGCCCTCAGACGAAATAACAATTTTGCCATCATCTTCTTCCTCTCATCTTGTCATACTCAAAAATCAGCAGCATGGCACCGACTCTAAAAATTGGCAAATCAACATACTCCCAGCAAATTAATCTTCTAAAAGTAACTTGTTTTTCTTTTATTCTCTTAATTATATTCTTAATGGCTGTTGAAAGTTACAGAACGCAAGTAAAAACCTAGATCTGGTTTACCATATTGCTCTTTTTTTCATCCCTATCTCATCAAAGACTTCAGAGTTCAGATCTGGAGACGTTTGAGAGTTCAATCTCTAGGTCTTTTCATTTTCTCTCTCCCTTCCTGAACACCAAATCTGGGTTCAGTGAACCCATCAACACACAACACCTAAATCGTATGAGGAACCCACCATGCCGTGCAACAATCGCACGAGGAAACCAGAGTCCCAAACCCCATCAACCTACCTTCTCGATAATATAGCAATAAAAGCATACCCACTTCTTAGAGAAACAGGAATCACGAGAATAAAATAACTGAAATAGGAAAGCTACAAAACCCAGATCTATAATAAAGAAACCCAGATCCATAACAAAAGGGAAAATAAAGATTAAATGATAAGGAATGGAAATTGTTGCAGAAGAAATTGGATGCGTTGTTGAAAAAACCCAGAATTGTCAACCAAGCTTTCCCATTACCGACTTTGTTCGTTACTCCCTTGTTATCTTTGCCTGCAAATCTCTTCACTGTCTTTAGCAACCCAGCAGCACCTGCTGGGTTCATCGATCGAACCCAGGAGCACCTACTGGGTTCATGGATTGAACCCAAGAGGAACCCAGCGACGTTGCTGGGTTCGATCGATGAACCCAGCGGCGCCGTTGGGTTCGATCGATGAACCCAGCAGCGCCGTGGGTTCATGGATTAAACCCAGGAGGAACCCAGCAACGTTGCTGGGTTCGATCGATGAACCCAGCGACGTTGCTGGGTTCGATCGATGAACCCAGCGACGCCGTTGGGTTTGATCGATGAACCCAGCGGCGCCGCTGGGTTCCTCCTGGGTTCAATCCATGCGCTCCTGGGTTCATCAACGAGGATCTGGGGGGAAGATGATGAATGCTAGAGATTGAAATGAATGGGTAACAAAAGGAAAATGGAAAGAAATTGATGTGTGGTTGAAGATGAGGTTAAAAAGGTAATTTTAGTTTTATAATTAATTTTAGATATTTTAATTTTTATTGAAAATTACGTGTCAAGTTTTTTTGCCACGTTGTCAATCCTACATGTCAAAATATTTTTACATGTCATCATTTTTGGTCAACTAATGGGACATGTAAGTAGATTTTTAATAGAGGGACCAAATCGGGGTAAAAATGGTAAACAGTAGGGACAAAATTAGGGATTTTTTGAGTTGAGAGACTAAGTCGGGAGTCCGTATAATAGTTGAGGGACCAAAATGGGGGTTTAACCTAATATGTACAATGTCACGTTAGCAAGATTGGCTTTGCACTTATGACTAAAAGGACACACATGATCTATTTCCATATCAAACATACTATATTCTATTTTCTGCTAATAACTGTAATAGAGTTAGCATTGCTAGAAATGGCACTCGCCCACTTTGCTGGAAATGTTACAGACATGATCTACTTTAACATTATTCTCATATGCATAACCAAATGAGACTACATTTATCTCTACAACATGGCTGGATGTTTGTGATGGTCATGATATTTATTGCAACATTTGTTGCTACATCGACATGCTTCTCGACAATAGATAAAGAGCCTAATTTGCTACATCTACATGGCTCCCATTAATGGACAACAGATTGATTTTATTACATCAACACAGCTCCCAGCAATGGACAAGGGATCGGACTTGTTATTTTACTTAGCCTCTAGGAATGAGCAAAAGGCTACATATCTATTTGTGCACATTTTTACTACACTAGCTCCCAAAAATGGACAAAGAATTAGTGCAACTTGGTACGCTTAGCATGAAGTTGGCAATAGTTGTAACCACGTGATTGGTTGGGATGGCTACTCTGTAGTGATAAAAATCCATCAAGTTATGGCTGGTAGCTTCTTGGTGGTCACTCATGCAAGGTGGTGCAGTGCCCAACAAGCAAAAACAACCAGGATCATCCTCTAATGTTGTCGGTATGTTCAAGAAAGACCATCATTGCAGTGATCCTATCATGGTATCAAATCTTGTTCATATTGGAGGCTATGGACGTGGCTGGCATCCTCCCTTTTATGGATAACACTCCACCCATTTTATTATATTCATCACTATGCTAGAGTTATGGATTAACGAGATGTATCCCTTTTGTGACTTAGTACATTAGTGGGAATGCTTGGTGTCTTTCCCCAAAATTAATACCCTTTGGCTAAGCGGTTGTTGTTGTGTAGTTTTAAGTATCGAATCCACAGGGAAACTATATTAAACCAACAAAAAGAGTTGTCACAATGAGAAGTAAAATTAAAAGATGATTTCTAAGATTAAGAATAAAAATAAAAGATGATAATTATAGAGGGTTGAAAACAATATTATGATGAACAAGACTTCAGGGTTCACTTAATTGATTTGTTTAACTGTTAGAAATTTTGATTCTTATTTATTACTAAATTGCATGTTTCACATCCCAAACAAACAATCGAAAGGTTTAACTTTGAAAACCCATAATAATAACTAATGTATTTCTTTTGAGAGAAATTAATTTCAATGAAAAACAAATTGATCTATCCTTACGAGCTATTCGAGAGCGACAATATATCTAATCGATAATACTACAGTAAAAGACCAACTCGTAAAATAAATCTATCAATTAATTATATTCTAACAAATTACACATAAAAAGAGCATGACTAATTTTATATGAAATTTGATAAATATAATTTTTAGAGTTTTCAAATCTAAAAATAATTAATAATCTTTCAAAAATAAAATTAAACATTAAAAACTATAAAGGAATCAAAAGAAAATAATAAATCAAACTTCTCAATTAAGATCCTCCCTAACCTTATTGAAAATTTAGTTGTTTTTTGACATAATTCTCTAGCCTTCGAGAAGAAAATAGAAGTCTAGGGACAACCTCTCTAGCCCCTTCAATTCTGAACTTGGATGGGTATTTATAGGGTCTTAAAAACCTTAATTATAATGGCTATGGGACCCACATCAAAATAATTAGGACAGATATGCTTTGACTAAAAATCTCATAAGGGGTCGATACCTTCAGCAAAGTGGCAAAAACCAACATTTAGCCCCTCACCTTACAAAATTGGTAGGTTTTAGCCCCTCACCTTATAACATGACAGTTTTAGCCCTTTATCTTACAAAGTTGGTAGATTTTAACCATTTACCTTATATTATGATATTTTTAACCCATCACCGATACGAATCAAAGAAAATAACCCTCATCTAACATTAGATTATAACGTTCTATTAGTTGTGTTAGTTGATTGTCAATATCTGTTAGCATTCCATTATAAAAAATATGAAATTTAAATTCAATTTTATTTGTTAGTTTCATTAACGGAATGCTAACGGATGCTAAGAGTCAACTAACAGAACTAACAGTCAACTAATAAAACTGACAGTTAGCTAACAGAATTGACAATCAGCTAACAAAATTGATAGTTAGCTAACATAACTAATAGAACATTAAAACCTGAAGTTAAATAAGAGCTATTTTCTTTAATTTGTACAGATGAGGGGTTAAAAATGTCATAATAGAAGGTGAGGGGCTAAAACCTACCAACTTTGTAAGGTGAGGAGTTAAAACCTACCAACTTTATAGGGTAAAGGGTTAAAAGTGTTATATTATAAGGTTAGGGGGTAAAACCTACTAATTTTGTAAGGTTAGGAGCTAAATGTTGCTTTTAGCCTAGCAAAGTACCGGCACTTGAGTGAAGTGTTGACTGGATGCTTCGTATCGGGTTTTTGGCCTTTTGTGCAATTTTGGTTGATGGCAAAATAACAGTCCTAGTCCCTAAGTCTTGGATTCCATGCAAGTTGATCATCATATTTCTGATCTCTGCAATTTGCTCCTTAATAAAAAATGGAGAAAATCTCACTTAAGCCTTCAAACTTCTAAATTCGATCCTTGGACCCTCATCTTTCTAGCTCTTTGCATTTGAGTCCCTTCTTCTAATTCTCTCCATTTAGTTATTAAACCTTTAATTACCAAAAATTTACACACATGAATAGAATGAACAATTATGAAATTATTTGTAGAACAACACAACTCTTGAGCCCATAATTTCACAAATGTCAATGGTTAGGCACACCTTAAATGTACTTTTTCATGCTTTCATCACAACCCCCAACTAGCTTATTGCTAGTCTTTAGCAATTCAAGCATTAATTAAGAAAGAAAGCATGCTGATTAGCTCAAATGGATATCTAGAAAGACTACCTAGGTATTCAGAAAAAGATCATAGTCGTTATCAAGATTACTTCAATTATAACTTCCAAAAGTCTGTGTGTGTGAACTAAGCATAGCCTTCATACCACAAACCACAACATATATAGCCTTAAGAATTAATCAAAGTAAAAGCCTCAACTCCATATCCTCATGGGTCAATAACTGTTTAATGTAAAGGATTTCTCTCATGGAGTTAGAAAGCAGCAAGTCACTCATAGGAAAAGACAATTTAATGGACAATCAAACAACAAACATTGACTAGAAGATATGCTAGTTAGTTATTCAAAATTCCACTACACTTACTATAAACTAGCTTCGGGATTTCAATCAATCAAATATGAGAGCAATAAAAGTATAGCCTAGTGAGAAAAATTGTTCCCTCAAAAGAAAGTTGGTCTTCTAAATTGATGGTAGACTTTATTTGGTAGATTTTTTCTT